ATGGATGCCATTGTTGAGAATAAAATTCATGAGCTTGTGATCTTCCTCGATAGTCCATGGTCCTCGTTTCAGTCCGACCTTGTCACAACAAGGTTGTCTTCCCATTGTCGCAAACTCAATTTCCCTAGTACAATCGAGGTTCCTCGAAACAAAAACAAAACCAAACAAAACTCAGCCGAGCCGCAAAAGTGAGAAAGCCTGAATTCCTAAGTGGACAATAAAGTGGGATGGCTAGCTTAAAAAGGGAGCCTTATAATCCAAGCAAAGATGCCTTGCCAGTTCATTCAGTCATTAAAAAATCAGAACGTTGTTGTTTGAGAGGGGAGATAAATGATTGAATTGGAAATAAGCATTTCAGTCTAACTAGATATAAAAATGGCACCACCCCATGAACAAAGCCCTTTGTGAGAAAATTAAAAGGGGAAAAAAAAAAACAGACGTGGGTCGCCTTCATTGAATTCAAATAATTATTTTTTAATTTTAACAACCTAAGTCTCTCTCTCATTGGCTTTAATCGTGAAGCCAAAAAAAATAGTCAGATTGAAAGTTTCCTTATTGCTTGAAGGCTGGCCACTTTTGTCGTTGTAGGCAACTCTTTTGTTTATACGAAGTCTAGAGAGAGAAAGAGGGAGGGGAGAGGGAGACAAAGATGCTTTCACCATTGAATCAAAGTATAATACTTCCAAACATGAATCAATTAAAGTTGGCTACATGACATGAAATGGTTAAGTTCTGATCAGTCAAATATCTATTAATTTAACTAAAAAAAGTACATAAGCGATAAAAGAGCAAAGAGTTTCTTATTCAAATCTCTCATCTCATATTTAGAAGATACGATTCTAACTCACATTATTAACATTTCCACTTCCCCTTTCACAATTTTTTTTTATTATCAGTTTTGGTAAAAATGAAAGTAAACTCAATTGCATTACTCAATTAGCCCGAAAATTTTTTCGTCTTCATTCTTTTTTGCAGACAAAAGTTAGGGTTTCACATGTGTGCATAAACTTTTTTTTTTTTTTTTTTTGTTATTTTAATGAGATATAAACTTTTGTATAATGTCAAACCGTGATTTGAAATTTATCAATACATGCACAAATTAGCATTGTTTAGCAAGCAAAATCATGCATGGTCGCAAGCCAGTGAGTCTATATCTACAATATATGCTTTGCATGCTGCAAATTCACTGATGAGTTTGTGAGCAATGATACCTTTGTTTTTTTCCTTTCTTTTTTACCCTTTTTTTTTTTTCTTTTCAGAAAGCATTGATGCTAGCTAATTATATATAAGCATGTCCATGAAGACGTTTTGAGCAAACAATAAAAAGATTTGAAAAAAACACAATGGGGTAACCAACAATCTCCATAATTCCTAGACAGCGAGGTCACTTATGTCTGATCGATAATTTGAGTACAGAGCCTACCAATATGATGTGCTAACCTGCTCATACACATTTTGTTTTCTCCTTTTTCCTTTTTTCGTGATATTCTAAACTACTTTTATGTACAGACACAATTATATTTTACGAATTGGCTTAACACACATATACTTTTCTTGTGCTGATTTTAGGTGCAAAATCTTTTAAACTTCCTAAACAATGAGCTATTATAAGAAAGAAATATGTGTTCCAACGTATTTGACAAGTTAGAAGTCTGGTTTTGGACGAATTTGAAGAAAGACATAGACTTCGGAGAGATTTTTCAATGTGTCCAAACATGGAGCAATACACCGTATGTTATTATACACGTGGAGAAATTTTTTATTTTTATTTTTTCAAATGTCCCTCCATTTAATTGTATAATATTATTTAGCGTATATACTCATATTTCAATCACACTAAAAAATCTCTCTTGACTTTGATGGAATTCAGAAGATGGACTCCATGTACATGCAAAAGCATGAAATTGCAACAACGCTGCTGAATTAAATATGGATTAATTCCACTGCCAGTTGACAATTTTTAAGAAGATGATTATTGAATAATATTATTAACCAAATAAGCAATCATATATATGGTCCTTAAACTGGGTTCATGCACAGAAATATTCCCCATGATCTTTCTGGAGATGCAGAGTAATCAGAAACACAAACATTTTGGGGCGGCGGGACCGACGTCTGAGGCGTGGAAAACATTATCTTGGTGCTCTAAGGATGACTATTCGCGATTGTCAAATATTATATTACATCTAATTAACAAATAATAATAGGGCTTTAGTTAAAAAAAATTGGAAAAAATATACAAAGAAAAAGGAAAAAGAAGGGGGGAAAAGCCCTAAATTCGCAAACTTTATTTGAATGCTGCAGGTACACAGCTGCACGACATGTTTATAATGTTTCCATGCCAAGGCCTTGAGAGGTGCATGCAACTTTGAACTTCCCCAAATGGCACATGGCTTTGGACAATAGTTGTATTCATGTCTATGCTTTTGTACTTTTATTTTAATTTTAAAATAAAAGTATTCTATACACAGTAACTATTTCAATTTGGGCAATGAATTAACAATTCGAAGTACTTTTCAATAGTAAAGACCTTTGGATCCGATTTTACATTCCATTCCGGCTCTCATTAGCTCTTCACTTGGTTATACAAGGAAACATGCCCGAGGGGGCTACTACACTCACCGCGCACTTGTTTTAGCTCACTACCGTCGAGAAAATTTATTTTATCACCAGTTTAGGGTTGAGTCGAACAAGAATCTCTATATAGCCTTATACTAATAGTATATATAGATCCTTTTGAGTCAATCGAGAATCTCTATAAATTTATATCACTACGTTGTATGTGTTCGTGTTTTTTATCTTTCTCACCATATGACAACGAGTCAACGACTGAGAATCGCGATACAACCCTATACTCTCGTATATATCTTCTTGTTTTTCTAATATGATGAAATTTAAATAGAGGTTTGGATGGACCAATCGCAGTCCACGACATCATTGTAGGTGAAAGAAGTCAAGAACAAACATCCAGTAGCATGGTGACAAAACTGACGTCCAGTTGGAGGGCATCATCAATAGCAACCCTAGCTGCCAGAAAATAATATTTGTGCCTTATTTGTAGCAAAAATTCTGATAAAAAAACGTATCGTTGAGTGGTCACTAGCACTTGCCAAGTAGTTCAAGTTGGCTGATTTATGAGCTTTTGATGCTGACAAAAATATGAAAACAAGTTTTAATTAATTAGCAAGTAAAAAACCATATTAAGAAATGACCAATGTATCCAATGGAATTAATGTTGGGAAAAACCAAAAAGGTATCTTTGAATTATAAGAAGAAAGCCAAGCTCTAAGGTGATGCTTTTCTACAGAAGAAGTGCACACCTGCAGACAAAAAATCTCGAAGACAACTACGTCAATGTATAATTGATGAGTTAACTGATCACTTGTTTCTTGAGAATTTAGCATCTTGTTTGGGTACAACTAGCGTCCTTATCACTAGTTAAAAAAGAACCTTCAAGTCTTGCCATTTTGATCATAGTCAAATACTAGATCTTTAACGAGAGAGAATTACTAGCATCAGTCACGTACGCATGTATAGATTGATCGTTCATGTTTTTTGCATTTTAAAAGTATGAATAGCAAGTAGCCGTCTATTTAAAATCTAGATCATTGGTCATCGAATGCTTAATGACCACGATAACTAACGTACTTGTCCTTATCATTTCAATACATAAGAATGTCAATCAAGATTGGAAGTGGTGGAATGCCCTGATGGATAGACTTTTTTTGTTCTTCTTATTTCTCTTAAAGTAGTAATACTGTTTGTAATCATTGCCAATCAAGCTCAAACTACAACCCAAAGTCTAGTTTCTAAACCAATTCAATTCGAACATCACTCAAGTGGGGCTTCTTAGAACTCGTTTGGAAGTACTTTTAAATGATTGAAAACTAGTTTAGGAAAAATACTTTGGGTTTTAGAAGCACTAGGTCCCTACAAGAAATACCAGTTATGTACTTCCTACATAAAGCACTTCAAGTTATTTTCTAGAATTAAATTGCAGTGTTACTAAAAATTGATTTCAAAAATATTATCTCTAAAAGCACTTTCTGTAATTTAAAAGCAATTCTCAAACGAGCTTTTACTGTGATTAACAGTCTTCAAAATAGTTGGGTTTCCAATTGGTCTAGCCCCTCTAAGATTATATCAACTTTAGGTTGGGCCGTACTGTCAAGAATGGGTCAAGTTGGCCTTCCCAAATTGCATGCATAAAGACAATGTCTTATCACGACCTAAACAAAAAAACACAATGTCGCATCTGTTTTGCTAAAGTATTTGCCAAAGGGTAAGGTAATGATAATCAAAACATATAATAGTGATTTGTCCCATTAGGTATGTGCCACCTTTTTTGACAAAGTTAACACTGATTAAAAACGACATGGACACGTCACACGTGCATACGTGGACAAAATATATACCCTCACTTTTTTTTTTTTTTTTTTCTTTGGTCAGTAAGATTTTACGTGATGTTTAAAACACAACCAAATACATTAAGTGTCATAATATACACAGGGGATGAGATGATCAGCGAATCTCAAGCAGGCCAAAAATGAAGGAAGACTGTTCCTCTTTTGCATTGAATTCCAGGTATATGGGTGAAGGCTGGATAGCTAAAAAGCCTTTGTCATTTGTAACACCTATATTGAAATTCATTTCCTCCGTTGAAGGTCTAAGAAATATGCGGTATCCTTCGTCAAAATCTTTTGATAATTTATACAATCCTGATTGAATAATTCAATCAGAATTGTATAAATTATGTAAGGTAAATTTTTTATTGTCTTTCTGCTATGTTTGTAATCATGAAATTATACTCCTAATGGATGACATTATGCACTTTTTTTATTAATGAAATTCTTATAACCTAAACAAACAAACAAACACCCAAAAAAAAAAAAAATTGCATCATAACATATTGAAATAGATGTTAATTATATACCCCAAGCCCATAACCTATCAACTATATTGTCGAATCATATTATAACACGAAAATTAATAACGAGTCTCGCATCAAAAATTCATGCACAATTTTCAAACCCGGATCTGTAGCCGTTGGAAATTCAAAACCAAACACCAGATTCAAAACATTTGACCGTTAGCAAAAGGACCAAAATCCCTTACTCGTTAGCCTCTTTCTTTCCTGGAATTCGATTCTTCCCTTCCCCTTCGGTCCACCCAAAGGCACAACCAAAAATGGCGAGGAAGGAAGAAGAGCCAAAACAGAGTCCAATAAACCCGAAAAACCAGCAAAGAGAATCAGACCTAGTTGAAGTCGAAATCTGTGGCACCAGCGGCAATGCGATTGTATTCAGCCCTAGATTCAAATCCGTCGCCGCCATGGCCGGTTGGGACGAAGAGAGCCTTCTAGTCGCAAGCCTGGTGGTCGACGATACGCCGGAGAGAGATTTTAAACACAAGAAACACTCTGTCTTGGACTCCAAGACCCCACCCACCAATTCATCAAGAAGGTATCAAATAATATTGGTTATTCAATTCTTCTTGAAAATTATCTTATTCGGGCCCGCTTGGATTAAACAATTTGGTTTTGGGTTTGGATTTGGATTTTAAATCTTTGGATTTGTGCACAAGATTTAATTTTGAAATTGGATTTGGGTCATTAGGGTTTCTTGATTTTTTTGCACAAGATTAATTTTGAATGTGATTTGTGTTTTAGAAAGCGCAGAGCACCGAGAAGGAGCCCGATCTCAATCCCTGTAGCTGTCCTTGATCTTGATGATGCCGAAGAAACTGCGAAAGACGGTACTGATTTTCTCCATTTGATCTATTGGGTACTTGGGTTACAGAAAGCCGGCACCTTTTTTTCTGAAATTTTGTATGAAAACTTGTGGGTAATATTTTTGATGTGCAGAGAGTGGGAAAGAGAAGAAAGTGGAATTGGAAGTTGTTGCGAATAAAGATAAGGAAACAAGAGAAGATAAAATGGCTGAGAGCTCGGGTGGTTCTTGCCCGCCAAGTACGAATCTTCCTTGCTTGGATAAGCTCAGGGAAGAACTTTCTTGCGCTGTAAGAACCTTCTAATCTGCATGCCTGGTTAGCAATTAGAACTTTGATGTACTCAAAGTCGAGTGTGCTTCTTTGAATTTTGTTTTCTAACGTAGCGTGTTTGATGTTCTTGGCAGATCTGCTTGGATATTTGCTTTGAACCAAGTACTACTCCCTGTGGTCACAGGTAATTTCAAAACCAACAAAGCATAGCTTAAAATTTGTGTTTATCGATCTTATTGCCATTCGATGATCCAAATGACAGCTTGAATGATTGAATCATATGCCGCTTGACTTCGAATAACCGATAAATTTGTCCTGATTTGTACAACTGTTTGATTGTAGTTTCTGTAAGAAGTGCTTGCGGTCTGCTGCTGATAAATGTGGGAAGAGGTGCCCCAAGTGCAGGCAGCTAATCAGGTATGTTTCTGACATAGTTCCAAGATAATTGGTTAATTAATCAGCTAATGCTCAATGCTGCAATGCGCCTTTGGATTTATCTCTATCTTGCTTGATATTTGCAGCAATAGTAGATCCTGCACCGTCAACACGGTTCTGTGGAACACAATACAGCTTTTGTTTCCACAAGAAGTTGAAGCAAGGAAAGCTGTTGGAGCCTCAAATGGCAGAGAAACTGATCGTCAAAGCCCTGGAAAGGCGGTATATAACGCAAGGAATGCTTTAAGTAGAAGGGCATCGGGGGCATCAAGCACAAGCAGCAGCGGAGAAATGACCATGAGGAGAAGACGGGTAATACTAAGCCAAGATGAAGAGGTTGAAGCTGAGCATCGAAACCAAGAACAAACTGCTGATAGAAGCATTCGGTTTTTAAGGGCATCAAGAAGAGAGATGAATGTGAGGATGAGTAGTAGAAGGATCCCAAGCCAGGATGAGGATGCTGCATTAGCTCTAAGATTGCAGAGGGAGGAGTTTATTGAGGCTTTTAGGGGAATCCCTGATCAATCCAGTAGTTCTTTGATTTCTTCGGCAAGAGAAAACTTGAGAGCCATGGCATCTAGAGCTACTAACCATCGTCTTACCCGACATATGTTGTAGTCTAGCTTCTCTTTCGGTTTCGAAATTTCCATTTCTGGTGACACTACTGACTGGTAGTCTAGCTTTTTTCTCCCTTATTTGGTTGAACAATGTTTTCATAAAGTAACATACAAGGTGCCTTTTGCAAGTATTTTCTTATTACTACAAAGTTGTCTGCATTTCAGAAGCGAAAAATCTGACAACGGCTTCAACAGAAGGAGAGCAGAAAACATTTTGTTCCAGTGCTTATGAAACTTAGAATCCATTGAACTGATTGGAAAAGATGTTGGAAGTCTTGGGGAACAAGTAATGTTCAACCGATAAACATACAGAGACATTACAAGTCTTGGAGAACAAGTAAAAGATCCAACAACGAGCGATTAATTAATATTAATGTATCAAATCCACACAATTAATTAATTCTTAACTAAATAAGAAGAACAAAGTGACTGCTACTTAATTATCTTGATCTACAACTGGAATGAAAAACCTGCAAGTTTCCAAAGCAGCAAACAAAATCCAATTCAAGAGTTGCATTTCACAGCTCGCTATAAGAATGACTGTGATGGCGGGTTGTGATTACGCAACTCTTGCTGATGCCAATTTCAACAGGCTGCAGACAGAACAGCCAAGACGATGACAGTTTATTTCAAGGTGGTTAAACTAGACGGAAACAGCCCCTTGGCGGATGTGGAGACTTCCTGCAGATATTTGAAGCGACTGCTCCCGCTGGCCTGGTCACACAATCCCCTGACCACTCTGCAGCTCAACTGGAACCTCCTACAAAACAGAAGAATGACTGGAAAATCCTGTAGTAATGGAAAAGCCTATAGAGAAGCATTCTACATGGCAGAATACCACGAGCATTGCGTGGAAGTTTTTCCCACAAGCCAAATACCAGGTGTTATGGAGGCTGATTACACTGAGTTGCTGACATAGTCCCAAACCGGCTCACGAATGAGGTATTGGTTCCCTTGGATAAGGTCTCCGGTTGGCAACCACTGAGAGGAGGAAGAGGATATAGAGTCGGCGTGGTTGAAAAGTATTTGGAGGAGGCGAAAGCCTGCAAGAGGAAGATTCTGGCTGATGCTTTGCTTCCACATGAGATCATACGCCATGTGTGCCTCACTGGACTTTCGGGAAAGTGGCTGAGCTTCAGTGGACTGGACGGCAATGTTGGAGTACGTAAAAAAGCAAGGCAAAATGAACAACTGCTTGGCTGTATGCGACATAAACTCTCCCTAGAGGTTTATCTTTTGATTGTCCTTCAAGGCTTCCGTCTTCACCTTGTTGTTGAACCATGCTACCTTAACCGCTTCAGTGATGTTAGCGACGAAAGATGACGCGACACTCATCGCTAGCATTATTTGAAGCGGTTAAGGTATGGTTTGACAACAGAAGATACAAACGGAAGCAAGCGTTGAAGGAGGACAGTCAGGAGAGAGACCTCTGCGCAGAAGCTCCAAGAGGAAATAGCGAGGATCTTGAATCCCAGGCTGCATGTTCCACCTGGAAAAGTCCAAATGAAACACTTATGCCAGTAGAATGTAAAGGAAAACCCTTCTTCCTCTTCCTATTTTTTGGTGTCCAACCATGAAAAGAGCTCACTGGTTTGTTGGTTGGTTGGTTGGTTGGTGCTTAATTTTGAGAGTAATGTGCCGATTTATCGCTCGAGTGAAAATTAGATTTCTAAACTATTTTTTTAAGAAAAATTAGTTCTTAAACTAATTAAAACCTGTCAGTTACACTTTTAATGTTAGATTCGAAGTTATTCTATTTAATTTTTCATCAATTTAAGTCACGTGATACACTTAGATTAGTAATTTTTTTTATGAGATTTAAGGACTCATTTTTTCAAAAATAAGAGTGTACGAAGTCAACTTTGAAGAGTAAATTAGATTCACAACCAATGTACAGCATTATGGACTTATAGACGAGAAAATGACGGTTACCCTTTAAAATGTGTTACGTGACTTAAGTTAACAAAAAATTGGATAGAATAACTTTAAATATAACAGTAGTGATGAAATTAACAATTTTGAACAAATTTTGAGACTTATTTTACCCAAAAAAAAAGGTTTAAGAACCTAATTTTTATTCAGATGATAATTTAGAAACTAAATTGACCGTTCACTCTCCTTTTCCTCCAAAATATTGAGACCACATAAATTCCAACACAAATTGCGAACTAAATTAATCAAACACAACAACAAATTTGAATGTCCATTTCCCAATTTCTGTTTTCCATTAGTAACACCATACACAGGTCGAGTCAATGAAACAGTAAGGCAAACTACTTAATCTTCCACATCAGAACAGGAGCTTCATACCACTCAATTGTGCAAGGAGAAAAAGAAGAAGAAAACTGCCCCGACGGAAAAAGGAGGCAACTCTTACAATTGTCACGCTGCAAAATCTTCGCTCTGTATTACGTGTTACACCAACGTACGGGGTCGCTTGTGCGTGTGACGATTCTGATTTCAAAACTGTAGAATGTACTCGTAACCAGTATTTGTACAAGGAACCTTACCGGAGATTTGGCCGCTCAGTAAATGCGTGTTGCTGGCGAAGTTAGTGCCTGTGAGAGTGCTTTCGGCTAACAAAATGGGGCTCTCCCTTTTCTCTGTTCCGTCTTTGTAAGAACGTCAAAGCACAGCAAGTGAAGCCTATAGCAGCCATACCATAAAATGCTCTGTATGGAGCCAAGGCCAGGGAAGAGATATAGGAATAGTATCCAGCTAGCAGGTACAGAAAATTCAGACTCACTTCACAGTTTCGGAAGCCAGGGAAAGAAACCAAGAAGGAACTGGACTCGGGCTTTGCGGTGAAGATTCCATGAAGGATCACACCGGTGCAAAGAAATGAATCCAAGAGCCACGGGAAGCTATGACCCATCCCTATTCTCTGCAGCCAGAAAAATGTCGTTTTGTGAAAAGCCAGCTCACTTACACAACGGGAATAAAAAAGGCGGAGAACTAGGCAGAAGGTTTGAAATCTAAACATATCAATAGTTGGACTACTGTACCTGAAACCAGGCGACAAGTGACGGGACAAACATGAGTGCTGCAGCAAGATGCAAAATAAACAGCCCATGCCGATGATGGAATAACTCTAACTGTGTTTCACCAAAACTTTTCGAAGAGACTGGACTGTTGGAGCAGCAATCTTCAGAATGAATATTCTGGTTTGATATACCATCACTTTTGGATGGAAGTTGACAGGAGCGGTCATTGCCTTCCTTTTTACCATCAAATAATTCATGCCTTCGTGTATGGCTGCGAAATGAAGTGCTCAAAAAACTGTTACACAGACATAAAGCAACTCTTAGGATCTTTTTTTATCACACATACCCTGAATGTAATATGAGACAAGAAGCTTTACGTATTATTATCAATACGTAAGCAACGATGACAATAAAAGTCCAGAAAAAAAGTGAGGACATACCTGCAAAGTGCACTGTGACAGCTCAAAGCATCAAATAACAAGATTATAAATAGACCGAATGCTGCATGAACCAAGCACACCAGAGTAATTGCAACAAGTGCTGTAACGAATACCGGATTGGTTCTTAAAACCCTTACCACCTGTTCATGAAAAAAACCATGTGAAAGTGAATGAGCAAACTTGCCTAAAGAAACATGAGCTTGTAACGATTACATTATACCACAGGATAAAGTATACCTTCAATGAAAAGAAAGCGGAGGAAAGATTAATAAATCGGTGAACACTTTTTTCCCCCAATTGAAACCTGCAAGAGACTAATTCTTGTTATTCAGCACAAAACCAGTGAACATGCGCATATGCACTGGCTGAGAATACTCAAGCTAATTGATTTTCAAGTCATGGAAAGAAAATAAAGAGTGGTCAGAGAAAGCCTGCTGACCTTGTATTGATGAAAATATGTACAACAGCGGCCGCATAGAAGATGAGTTGGGATATCAAAATAAGAACAATTACGAAGCCATTAGCAAGTAAATAACAAGTCAATGAGACTATGGTGAAGCTAGCAAATGAAGGAAAGGGTTGTGAAGTCAAAAAGGATAGGAAAAAAGAAAGCAAGATCGGGGCAATGGCAAGGTAGAGAAATGGCAGTGGGATTCTCAAATTAAATTCCACAGCCGTAAGAATCGAAGGTATGTGCTGGTCAAGATCCCACGTACATATTTGCTGCATTAATGCAAAAAAGATAACAACAAGGGAGAAACCAGCAATCTGCAAGAGAGCATCAATAAACTCAGAAGCATGCCTCTTTCTTTATTAAGAAGTGTTAAAAAATGAGAGAGAGTTGAGAATCATTACCTGTGAATTATATAAAAGCAAGAACCTACTCGCAACTGCAGTGACAGAAAGAGTCATGGAACTTCTATATGAACAATGTGGATCTACCTGAAAAGAAGCATACATACACAAACATAAACACCATCGAATTTAACGAATGATTGGAATAAATAATTAGAATCCCATATTTTTGACCTGAAAAGAATCTGTAAGTTACAAATTTCTTGTGCCAATATCATATTATAATAATATGAAAATTTAGATGACTTATTACCAGCAACATAACAGAGGTTTTCTCAGAACTTTTAGATGAACCCCATAGTGCTGGTGAAGAATCAACAACAATTTTTTCATTGTACATATTCGGGAATATGTGGAGACCTGACGTGTCATCCCAAGCAAATGCTATAGGGGGGAAACAGCGAAGCTTGCACAACTCTGTTATACCAAGAAAGAACCAGCTTAGCCAAAAAGAAGAGAAAAGAACAGTAGGTTCAATATTGTGCAAGAATATAAACATATTACAAATATTTTTTTCATCAATAATGTTTTACATTAATCCATGATAACAAATAGAACCCAAAAACATTAATTGAAAAACTACTGTTTATATAAATCCTTACTGCTATTATCTTCATCTCCAGCCTGTTCATCTGGAAGTCCAGAATTCTTTATCCCACAACCTGCAGTCTTCAAAGAGAATATGACAGGCAGAAGACCCAAGCTCGTGGTAAATGACAGATTCAGAGCAAGAGGATGATTCTCCTTCAAAGACATGTCCTGCATTGAAACCAAGTCATGCACAGTCAATATCAAACCATTCGAATTAAATTTTAATTTTCATCAATTTTCAATATTCCAGAATA